GCCTCAGTCACTTTATCTCGTTTCTGGACATGTGCAGATATGGTCATCTGCTTCTGTTTTTTGGGCATCTTCAGGGGTTATCTGTGGACTTAATACTTAGATGGGTATGTATTTTTGTATTTTTTATGCTGTCTGAATGCCTCCAGGTAGCTGTGATCCGGAAATGGGCTTCCCTTTTCACTCTTCTTCCTGAGAAGTTTCAAGATACCACTGTTGGTCGTTTTGACATAACTTAGGGTTTAATTTTCGGCCTGTTTCCTCTTTTGTCTGCTTGTCCCACTCCATAATCCCCGTTCAGGCCTTTTTTCTAGTTGGAAACAGTTCAGGGCCAGCTGTGGCCGTTTGGTTTTAATTGGGAACTGTCTCTTTAAATTTCGAGAAGATCTATGTGCATGCATAGTAGAACCCTCCTTGGGTGAAGCTGGGGTGCCCAGTAGCTCAGGCACCCCTATAGTCACCAGAATGGAGGTGTGCAGACAGCAAGGGACCAATGAACAGATACCCAAAGAAAAGAATGTCCACACCTTTATCTCTGTGGTTCTGCCAGGCGTCTGTGGTCGCTCCGCTCCTTCCTGCACGTGGTCTCACCCAAGATGGTGGCTCCTGGAACAGCTGAGCGTCCCGGACTAGAAAGCAATGGATTTCTTGCTTCTGCCACAAATTCCCCCAGCTGTGAGCCTTCCAACCTTCTAAATATTCCTTTATATGTGGTTCAGAGTTCTGGGACCGGCCCCTGAACCTGCTTGGTCGGGTATTTTGTGTTGTTGCTGGCGGAGCTCCTTTACTGCACGACCACCTGATCCACCATCTTGTTTGTTCTCCTCAATGTATTATTTTTTTGATGTGCTGCTGGATTCTGTTGGCTAGGATTTTGTTGACATTTTTTTCATCTATGTTCATGAGGGATACTGGTCTTATAGAGTACAACACTTCATAGTGTTCTGTTATTATCCTTATGATTTCCTTTGGTTACATTGTAATATCACCCATGTGGTTGCTAATGAATGTTATTTGAATCTTCTCCCTCTTTTCTTTTGTTAGGTTTGCCAGTGATTTGTCAATTTTATTAATCCTTTCAAAGATCCAGTTTCTTGTCATGTTAATTCTTTCTATAGTTTTTCTGTTTTCTATCTCATTTATTTCTGCTCTAATCTTTTTTTTTTTTTTTTTCTTTTGGTGACTGTAGGTTCCCTCTGTTGGTCTGTTTCTAAAATTGTTGAAGATGCTGTGTTAATGTGTTAATTTTGGTTCTAGCAATATTTCTTTAAAGGAAGTAGTAGACAAATTGATAAGGGTAGTGGTATTTCAGTAGTAGAATTCCTGACTTCCATGCTGGATACCCAGCTTTGATTCCTAGGCAATATATCTCAAGAACAGCTACAAGCTGTCTGACAGTAGAGGCTTGCATGTTGCTGTGATGCCAAACAGGTTTCAACAGGGCTTCCATACTAAGACAAACTAGGAAAAAAGCCTACTGATCTACTTTCAAAACAATCAGCCAATGAAAACCCTGTTAATCACACTAGTCTTATTTTGTTGTGTGTGGGTATTCATGAGTCAGAGATCAATTTGAAGGCAACTAGCAATAAATATTGGTATTGCTATGGATTAAGTGTTGGACTGCTAATAAAAAAATTGGTTATTTAAATCCACCAGTCACTACTTAGGAGAAAGATGAGGCCGCGTGCTTCCGTAAAGATTTACACACTTGGAAACACTAAGGAGCAGTTTTACTCTGTCCTCTAAGATTGCTAGGAATTGGAATCAACTCAACAGCAGTGGGTAGTGGGAGCAACAACATTCATTAATGATTGGAAGCATGGTTAAATTCATATATAAATCAGGATCGCCACTGATTATGCTGTATTGTTTTTTATAAACTGAGAAATTCTCTTAAAATAATCCATGCAGATTGAAAATTAAGATGTATACATTCTTTGCTGAATCTCCATAAATTTGATCTATTTGCATACCAATTACAAAGCAGTTAATTTTCTGTGTTGATAGTGGAAATAGTGACCAGACTTAGGAGCATGAAATATAAATTAATGACAAATGTTATGGTAAGGTACTTGTTAATTTATACTTAATGCTACTAAACCTGGTCATTATTAAATCTATTTTAAAAATTAACTATTAACTCTAAAAAAAAACAAACCCCAAGACTTCATACTATTAAACCTGGTCACTTATTAACTCTATTTTTTTAAAAAATTACATGTGTTAAAGGGAAAAAGGGACTTAGGCAATTAGGTAATTCCTGGGAAATCTATTTCTTTATCTTTCTCTCTTTTTCTTTAGGAACTATTTTCTTTATCTTCCTTAAATATGTGTTCAATGAGGATTACCCCATAAGCCTTTAAGTATGTTTTTGTTGACTTTAGGAGTAACCATATCCCTGTCTACACAAGACATTGCCCCAATAGAGTCACCTGTGGCCTGATTTCTTCATATCTGGGATTTCAGAAAATCCATGAGTCCTCCTTGTTGAAGTTATCATTAGCTGTTTTATGTCTACTCTATGTCTTTATCCTCTGTACTTACAGTGTGATTATAATTTTCTTATGAAATGAGAGCCCATACTTATGCCTCTTCTCAAGTTATTTATGTATCATGAATTCTTGAGATATGAAAATAGTCATTTTATACAATGAATCAATTAACTTTTTTTAATATTCTGGTAGGATCTAGAAGAATTGAATTATGAGAAGGCATCAGACAATATAATCATGAGACTGATGGCATTATCCTTCCAATATAGTTGTTGTTGGATAATATTATATTCCAAAAAAGCATTGGATTCAGAGTAAGTAAACAATTCTTTCACCCAGTCATGTTCCTATTTCTTAACTTATGTAATCTTCTGTAAATGTAAATAGCTATACAAATGTTTGCTTGGTCATCTAATTTGTTTAAAGTCTGGGATTCTCAAGGAAGTTCAGGCTTGCCCAAGGAAATCAAATTGGAATTTGGTGATGATACATATTTCCTTGGACATTCTGTGCAAATCATCCTCACTTACCTCATTAAGAATTGCTGTTTTAAGTGTTTCACTTATTATTGATTTGTAATTGATTTGTAATTCTAGACTTGCCAGCTAAAAGAGAAGTCATTCTTTTTTTCAAGTTTTTATTGTGAAATGAGTGATAGTTTACATGGGAGAACATCAGCTTTACAGTCATCCTATCGTATTTCGTTTCATTGCAATGATTACAATCCCCTCCATGCATCATCATTCAACAGCATTTGCTTCCATTTCCTCTGGGGTTTTTTGTTTTTGAATGTACACCGAAGCACTCAAGAATATACAACCATTCAAACAATCAAAGGGTATATGCTGCAAGTCTGCCCCCTGGCTGCCAGCACACAGCCCCTCTCCCTCCTACAATCCAGAGTCCCCAGCTGTTCCATCTCTCTGCATCATCGTCTCTGCATCTATCTCTAGCGTCGCTCCTTCTCTAGATAGGGTCCTGTACTCCACTCTAAGAGAAGTCATTCTTAATTCATTCCATCTGGTGGTAGTGATGGTGGTGTGCTGAGGAGTTGGTTCTGATTCATAATGGCCCCACACAGGGTTTCTGAGGCTGTAAATCTTTACGGGAGCAGAAAGCCTCATCTTTCTTCCATAGAACAGCTCATAGTTTCAAACTGCTAACCTTCAGGTTAGCAGCCCAACCATAGCCACTACATTGCCAGAGCTCCTTATCACATCTTGTTGTTGTTGTTATGTGCCGTGGAGTCAGTTCTGACCAATAGCGACCCTGAACAGGGTTTCCGATGCTGTAAATCTTTATGGGAGCAGAGAGCCTCATCTTTCTCCTGTGGAAAAGCTGGTAGTTTTGAACTGCAGACTGTGAGGTTAGCAGCCCGATTTGTAACCGCTATGCTACCAGAGCTCCCTATTCCATCTAGTATCAAGCATCTTGTTATACTTCCTTTAATTGGTTTATCTGAAAAGTTACAAAAAATCTGTGTCAAGACATTAGTTTGAGTTACCATTATATGTCTCTCCCTTCCCTCACCTCTAAACTATTTGAAAAGGAGAAATATTTCTACCATGATGTTCCTCAGGATCTCAAATTTAACATGCTTAGGGATTCGACCTATTTTTTATCCCCTCTGTAATAATTGGAGTTCTGTGTCAATTTGACTAGGTCAGAATTTCCAGAGGTTTAGCAGTTAAGATGTGCTTATTCCCATGTTGATGTAGCCTAATAAGGCATTGTTGTTGTTGTTAAGTGCCTTCGAGTCGGAGCCGACCCATAGCGACCCTGTACAGGGTTTCCGAGGGTGTAAATCCTTACGGGAGTAGATAACTCTAAGATGAATGACTATGAACAGCCAGTCAATTAGGGATGCTTCCTTGGGGGTGTGACTTGCCCCCAATATAATGGATACATACCCAGGAAAAACTCTCACTTCCACAGCCATTTTCTTGATAATAAACTTCTCTCTCTCTCTCTATTTATATACATACATATATATGTGTATATATATAAATATGTGGTGGTTATGTACCATAGTGTCAGTTCTGATTCATAGTGACCCTGTACAGAGTTTTCAAGGCTGTAAATATTTACAGGAGCAGAAAGCCTCATCTTTCTTCTGTGGAACAGCTGGTAGTTTTGAACTGCTGGCCTTGTGTATCACTAGTTTCCCTTCTCTAGAAAATCCATTCTAACACACCCTCCAAAATTGTATCTCCTTGTATCTGCCCAATAGTTATATATGACATTGTCTTTCTTTTTGTGACCAAGATCAGAATAGAGATCCTATATATCCTATCACTATACTTTCTCTTCTGTCTATCCCTTCTCTTCCATTTGTATTACCAATATCCTAGTTCAGATTCTTGCTGTTTTATATGGATTATACCAAAGATGTCAGTTTGAGGACTAAGGTATGCCTGACCCAATCCATGATATTCTTCAGTAACTTCATATGGATGTGAAAGTTGTACAGTGAATAAGGAAGACCATAGAAGAATGGATACATTTGAGTTATTAAAAGTACTATGGACTGATAGAAGGACAAACAAATCTGTGTTGAGGAGCCAGAATGTTCTTTAGAAGTCAGGATGGTAAAACTTTGTCTCTCATACTTCAGATATATCATCAGGAGGGTCCAATCCCTGAAGAAGAATCTTTAGATCCTTTGAATTCCTCAGCTCCTCAGTTAATTCTCGATCCCTCTTTTTAACTATTTGATCACGTTTGTTTTATAATACCTTTTTGGAGTACTTTTCCTAAAGTACTGAGCTTATTGTTGGATGATTGGAAAGCATTCCTATGTTTAATTGATGAGTGTCTCCTACCAACGTACCAACTATACTTACTAACATTTTTTATAGCTTTACAGTATTACAAAAGTGTATCAATCGTGGTAGAAGTTTTTAAAGTATTATTTACTTTAATTCTTAGAAAAGGTCTGTCTTATCTTTCTTGAGAATACCTGTGTGGTTTTTCCTATTGACTTTCCTGTTTGACTCCCTGTTTGTTTATCTAATGTGCCAAGGGGTAGTACGGTGGATCTGTAGGATAAGCACTGGATGAGAAAGGAGTAAAGCTTTCAGAACCTGCATTTTCTGATGGGGCATAACTCAAAATGAAGAGAAACAGCTGTAACATGCATCAATAATCAGAACATGAATTATACAAACTACAAATCTAGGGAAATTATGAAATGGAATGTATAAAGATCAATGTCCTAGACAATAGTGAGCTGAATGAACTGGTATTGGCCATTTTTAATCAAGACAGTCATATTGTTTGAATCAGATAATACTATGCAGCCAATGACAAATTGAAGAGAAATGGCATCACATTCATAACCAAAAAGAACATTTCAAGATCTATCTTAAAGTATAATGCTGTCTGGGATAAAATAATATCTATATACCTACAAGGAAAACCAGTTAATACTACTATTATTCAAATTACGCACCAACCACTAAAACCACTCATGATGAAATTGAAGAATTCTTCCAACTTCTTCAGTCTGAAATTGATCAAACACACAATCAAGATGTATTGATAATTACTAGGGATTGCAATGCAAAGCTTCCAAACAAAGAAGAAGGATCAGTACTTGGAAAATAGGGCCTTGGTAATAGGAACAATGCTGGAGATCACATGATGAATTTTGCAAGACTGGTCACTTCTTCATTGCAATACCTTTTTAAAACAACAGAAAAGACAACTATATACATGGACCTCACCAAATGGCATACACAGAAATAAAACTGATTACATCTGTGGAAAGAAACAGTCGGAAAACTCCATATTATCAGCCAAAACAAGGATGGGGCAGACGGTGAAACACAATCAATTGTTCATATGCAAGTTCAGGTTGAAACTGAAGAAAATTAAGACAAATCCACAACAGTCAAAATTTGACCTTGAACATGTCCCACCTGAATTTAGAGATCATCTCAAGACCATATTTGATGCATTCTTCACTAATGATCAAAGACCAGAAAATTTGTGGGATAACATCAAGAACATCATACAGAAAGAAAGCAAAAGGTCATTAAGAAGACAAGACAGAAGCAAAAGACCAAAATGGATGTCAGAGGAGACTCTGAAACTTGCTGTCCAGTTTAGAGATTTTAAAGCAAATGGAAGAAAAAAGGACGTAAGAGAGCTGACCAGAAAACTCCAAAGGGCAACTTGAAAAGACAAAGTCAAGTACTATACTGAAATGTACAAAGACCTGGAGTTAGAAACCAAAAGGGAAGAACATGCTCAGCATTTCTCAAACTGAAATAACTGGAGAAAAATTCAAGACACAACTAGCAATATTGAAGGATTATGTGGGCAAAATAATGAATGATGCAGAAAAGCATCAAAAGTAAATGGAAATAACACAAGTATCACTGTACCAAAAAGAAATCGATGATGTTCAACAATTCCAAGAGCTAGTATATAATAGCTAGTATATAATCAAGAGTTAATAGTATTGAAAGAAGTCAAAGGTACACTGAGGCATTGGCAAAGAACAAGACTCTGGGAACTGATGGAATACAAATTGAAATATTTCAACAAACTGATGCAGCACTGAAGACACTCACTCATCTATGCCAGGAAATTTGGAAGTTAGTTACACTGGAATGGATCCATATTTGTGCCCATTCCAAAGAGAGATAATCCCAGAGAATGCAGAAATTATTGGACAATATCATTAATATCACATATAATTAAAATTTTGCTAAAGATAAATAAAAGCCAGCTACAACAGAACAGTGACTGGGAACAAGCTGGTTTCATATAAGGACATAGTGCTGACATAAGATAGATTTTGGCTGAAACCAGAGAATACCACAAAGATGCTTTTTTGTGCCTTTTGACTGTGCAAAGGCTTTCAACTGTGTGGATCATGACAAACTATGGACAACATTGTGGAGAATGAGTATTCCAGAACGTTTAGTTGTGCTCATGAGGAACCTGAACACAGACCAAGAAACAGTCATTCAAATAGAACAAAGGGATACTGATTGGCTTAAAATTAGGAAAGGTTGTATTCTTTCACCATACTTTTTCAGTCTACATGCTGAGCAAATAATTAGAGAAGCTGGATTATATGAAGAACAATGTGGCATCTGGATTAGAAGAAGACTCATTAACAACCTGTGATATGGAGATAATACAACCTTGCCTGCTGAAAGCGAAGAGGACTTAAAATATTTACTGTTGAAGCTCAAAGACCACATCCTTCAGTATGGGTGACGCCTCAATGTAAAGAAGCAAAAATCTTCACCCCTGGACCAATAAGTAGCATCATGATAAATGGGGAAAAGATTGAAATTGT